AGGTGACATAGATACTTTATTATGGTATAGTATTTAAATGTATGCCTGAGAAACACATAATATTGCCCCTTTAATGGAAACACGTCAATTTAGAAAAAATTGTTTTTCGACAAAATAGTTTTGCGCTAGGATGAGGTAGTTTTTCAGCCGGATCGAAATTTGTGTATTTCGCAAAACTGCAATGGAAACACTTTTTTCGCATCTAGGGTTGGGCATAATCGTATCGTGTGCAATTAATCATCAGACAGACATTAATCGATTACTTTTTGGCATTTGAGGAATAATATGATTAAGGCCACCAGGCAGAGTCCGCTCGGTGCTCCTCTCTGCTTCAAATATGACAAATATTTCAAAAAAGCTGTAATTTATTTATCAACACAATTTAAAATTTGATGTATAGCCTGAAGTCTGTAATTTTGACACAATTTGGAACAGATTTTTCCGAAGAGCAAATCTTTCCCTTAAATTGGACATGTGACCAGGACATAAGAGTGTCCAGGGACTCCAGGGGATTAATCGTCAAATTAATCATTATCGGCTAAATACCACAATTAATCGTGACTAATTTTTTTGCCAATATTGCCCAACCCTATTCGCATCACAGGAGTCACGTGATCAACAACCGGATGTTTCTACTGGCGAAAAAGATGACAAAAAAGACAAAATGTAGTAGAAGTGGTAAACTCACAGACTACAATTTCCCCAAAATGCTGCATATGTAGCCACTCCCAAGTATAAGGGGCTTGTCACACGAAAGCCTCGATAAGACGCCGACGTCTCCTCTAATGGCTGATGATGAGCGCTAGTGTCCCAGTAGCAACATGCTATGTGTTTACATCCATTGCTGCCATGTTTGTAATGACTTCTTGTGAGAACTATTATATTCACACATGATTTTAATAGCATTTCTTACTTAATGGAAACACTGCAATTATGAAACTGTGTTTTCGACGTTAACARAATATCGACAAAGTTTTGCGCTCATTTGCAATGGAAACGCAGCTACTGTCTGTTGAAGTGCACAGCAAATATCTCTGTAATTAAAATCACAGGTGCAGAAACATGGAGTCAGGACTGACACACTGATGAAGGTGGGTTTGATTTAACAAAACAGCTGTCAGCTAATGAATAAAAAGAAGAGAAATTCAGAAACACAGTTTATTACAGRAAGTGTAAATAGTAAGCAGACTGAACTTGGATAGCGCCTTACACAACAGTCACTCACAAATTCATTCACACACTCATTATGTTTACATGCACAAACTTTTTGATCGGATTGAAATGTATTCAGATTAAATAATCCGAATGTACTGTTTACATGGACACAATACGATCATGACAAGTGTTTACATGCACCGAAGTTTTATTCAGAATAAAAGTCCGGACATGCACAGCGTTGTAAACGTTCAGCTCTACTTCCTGTTACAAACATAAACAAAGCTCCTCTGTGTCTCAGGTCAGACCCGTGTCAGCTTTTAATAACTGTAGAGACATTGTTACTCCTCGGTTGAGCTGCAGCCTGCAGATGAAGCAATACGTGTTTTTTTTTTTGTTTGTTTGTTTTTTGCGAAGCAACGTCTGCTGTTTGTCTCCTTTTTATCTGTTGAGAGAGCGTGGAGGAAAAGTTCTGCGCGGTGCAGCGCAGCTGGAAACTAGTGGTGCTGCCCCGCCTCCTCTGAAGAGCAGAACCAGGTGGATAAAATCAGCAGACATTGCGCACTCGGGTCAGTTTTCTACAATCAGAATAAGAT